TATTTCCCTATGAGTGAATTCCTTGGCATGGGGGAAGATGTTCTTTGGTTCCGAATTTCCGACACCAAGCAATTCCTAGTAGTGGCCCACTTCTGATGTGTTATTTGATATATTGTTTGGCTGGGTCATCATGGGTCATCACGGTCACCACCGTCTTCTTCTGCCACCCCCCTCGGTCAACGGACGTCGGAGGGTCATCCCACAGATCTCCAGGATGCCTTCCGCCTGCTGCGTGTGGGAGAGATCCTGGAGATCACCGGCGTCGAATCCATCGACGAGACCTCGGGGCTGCTGCGCGCACGCGTGCGCGCCATGAGTGATGGACGCATAGGCCCGGAGGCTCAGGGGCTCAGGGGCGAGGGCAGCAACGAGCGGGCAGGCGAGTCGTTTTGTTGTTTCATCTTGTTTCTCATGGTTTTTCATCGATTGTTTTCACTTGGTTTTTGTATGCAGCATGCCACTTTGCTCAATGAAACAACAAGAAATTTGGTGCCCCGAATCTGACAATTTTCATCACTTCCGCCTGGATAGCCGAGCTGTTTGCTATATATAGTGGATAACCCATGGAGGTCTCGCTTGGCAAACAATAGTTATTGTTTTCACTTTTCTTCGCGGGAAGACATGCTTTTCGTGGCTGTTTTTTTCTCCGGTCACCAGGGGGTCTTCCTCCCGCAGGCTGGGCCACCAAGATCAGTAGCAGCGGCAGCGTCTTCCTCCGACAGCTCTGAAAGGGCCACGGATCCCAACAGGTTGGTGGGTGAGTGGTTGGTGGATTTGGAGCCATGAAAGCAATGCGAAGAGAACAAAGCAAAAGAACATGCAAACAGGTTGTTGTATCTTGATCACACTACTGAAGATGGTTGTTGACGTTCTTCTCCATGGTGAACTGGCATAAACAACGGATGAAACAACAAGTAGACGGGGTCACCATGGAAACAAATTTAGCAACTGCAAAACTACGAACTTGCAAAAAGACTTGTTAAGATAGCATCAAATAGCCACCTGGCGCCCCATGGAGACTCAGGTTTGGATCCCATCCCAAAGCCAACAGGAATGTCTTTGAAGCCATTTGGAACTCAACGAGGTGGGCACTTCGAAGTGAACATCACCGGGAAAGACTTAACCTAGAAGCGATGGCCTCCATCCTAATAGCAGGTCTAGATGGGTCTAGCATTTTTCATGTGTTGAATTGGTTGGCTTGTACAAGTGCAAGTCTCAGCCACTTTCAGTTTTGAGACTTTTGGAGTCCCAGTACACTGCTAGTGGACCCTTTACAGGCCGGTCAGAAACCAAACTAGAGTAGCACAAAGCCTTTGAAGAACTACCAGTAGGTTGCTTGAGTTCTGGCTGTTCCAACACGTGTCAGTGCCCCTGGTAATGGTGATTCTGGTTCCGAATCCACTACCTGCCCACTAGGAAACGTGGACAACCTTTGACCTGTTTCTGGGGATTGCTTTCCCCACTCAACATGAACGGGTGGAGGTCGATCGAAAAGGCTTGGGAGTGAGACGAAGGAGCGGTGAAGCTCCTGGGGGATGATTCTTCTTTCGATGGCTGAGCCTTTTACGCCGGGACATGGAACTGCAGTGAAAACTGATCAGGATCTCGTTCTCGCATGTTCTCGCCCCTTTGTGAAGGTAGGGACATGTAGGGACTCTTCAAGCCGGAATCCCAGCCCGACACCCTTGGCACAGGAGTCAAAGAGGTATTGTGAATGTGAATCCTGTGGGATTGTGATAGAAATGACATGATATGACATGATATGGCATGATTCTGTTGAGTTAGGTCAGTTAGGTCTATAGACAAACGTTTTTATCGACGCAGTGTCGACCTTCAAACTCGTTTCCGGGGATTGGTGCATCCCTAAAGAAGATCGGAATCGCTGGTTTCTTCAGTTTTCACTCGATGGGGGTGTATTATTGCAAATGATTTGCATGTTTTATACAGCACCCGAAAGCAGGGACCCGACACGAATATTTGGGACCCGAAACACCGATCGTGCGCAGGGGATCGGGCCCGTTCAGTCGGGCCCAGATAAAAAGACACACTTAGAAGAAAGTTCGCAAAACGAGTTATTGTGCGCATATTACAGACTTTAACGTACCTTTTGGAACAGGGTTTGACACCCACACACACACAACATCTTGAATTGTTCAGAGGATTTGTGAGGCATCTACAGCCTCCATAGAGGATAGTCTCTACTACACTCTACCAGCACCCCGACTCGTTCTCGAGGATTCTTAGACCTTGGGCCACTTCTCAGTTGGACCTGTGAAGTTGGGTGCACTCTACAGCTGGCGTCCCAGGAACGTACTCTACGGATGGTTTCTATCTAATAAGAGAGCCTCCACCGAAGAGCGTCCTTGCTGAACACTCCCCTTCGCCTTGTCGGACGCCCCTTCGGCGGGTCCGACCGGGTCGACTCAGCGAGCGAAGGGTAGCGATCCGGCGGTCGGCCACCGGTCTTGCACATGAGAAGTGGTACTTCTAGGTCTCACACGTGTCCCACTCAGCGGATCAAGCTGTTTCTTGGTGCAACATGGTGCAACATGGTGCAACCAGCATCTCACGCGACGCCTCACCAGTGACCCTGGGTCGTGGAAAAGAAAGATCTGCAAGCGAGCAACTTCTGGTGGAAGTACTTCATGTGGGGTAAGTCAGGTCACAGTTTTCAGGGTCAGTTTTGACTCCGACCATGGGCTCGTAACAACCGCAGCTTTTAACAACCCGAGCGTGTTCTTCATCTGAGTGGCGGAATCACCAGGGGAGGGATTGCACGTCCATTCTCGTCTCCAGTTCGAACAGTTGGGAAGGCCTGCAGCCTCACTTTTTGCGGCAATTTTAGACTTCCAAAAATCACGGCGCACAAAAAGCTTCCAACAAATTCCAACAATGCAACATGTTGCAGCTTCGAACGACAGGTTTTGGTGGATGAACGGGCTATTTGGAGACTTTTGAACTGCGCAAGGGGATTGTTTGATGTGATCCCCTGCAGTGACCCATATCCTTTAAATAGCAATAGGCTCGGATCACCTCATGAAGGGACCTACCGATTTCCAAAGCTCCAACGGAAAGGTGGAGCCAAGAGTGGCCGCTGCCATGGCATCCAGTCCAATGCCGGGTGAGTTTCGGATTTCGTGTTGAAAGTCACATGATCCGTGGCGTTGGCTCGAAGATGGCCGACTGATTTCATCCTCACAGAGGACCGACCGCAAGCGCGTGCTGGGCTGAAGAAAAGAATGACAGCCACTAACTGAACCTGGTCTTGGAATCCTGAAATGACATGGACGGCGAATCGTCGAAATCCGGTGCTGGGTTTTTTTCCCGGCGGTTTGCGAGCAAATCCGTTGCGACGGGGACATGGACCTGTGCACCCATCCGACCCATCCCTTCCAACCTGTTCACCCGCAGCTTCCTCAGATCATCTCATATCTTAGTAGCGTCCCTTGCTCCTAGTAGTAAGGCCAGGAGCCCCTAGTAGCGTCCCTTGCTTCTAGTA